GCTGGATCTGATCTAATAAATGCTCGCTAAAACCCGCACCAGAGCCCAACTCCCTATCTAGCTTCCCCCTATCCCACGACCCGTCCGTCCAAAGGTCGCTCACAAGCAGGTAGGGGGAATGCGACACCTGTCTATCCCTAGACAACGGCCTATCACCTACCCACCACTCATCCCAGAAACTAACCTTGCCCTCGCCAAAAACCCAGAAGATGTGATCCTGGGCGTGTCTACCGACCCTAGTGAGGCGCCGCTACTGTCTGGTATCATGATCAACTGTCGTCACCCAACAAGGGTAGTTGGCACGTCTATGGAAGTACTTGCCGCGAAGGTATTGTGACCAAAGCGACTTTCCCTCCCTGAAGCGCCACCACAGCTTGTAGGAGAAATCTGTAACAATGTCCATGAGTCGGCGGATGCCAAGGTCACCCTCAGAAAGGGGGCGGCAGATAGAGTCCCAACTCACCCAGTGGGTACGTCTCCCCCTCCCAGAACCGTCCTCGTAACCCCAAAAATAACGAGCCATAATCTAGTGAATCTAGTCAAGAGTAGACCTAGGGGGGTCGAGGACCATAAGCAAATGAATCGGAAGGGAGCTAAGAGTGCTCTTGATCAGCGCAAGCCGACCACCAAAAGAAAGGTGTCTATGCGACCAACCAGAGATCCTGTCGGTCATCCTCTGCCTGACGCCAGCAAAGAGCGCTCTCGTGAGGTTGTCCTTATATAAATGGACACCAAGGTAGGTAATTGAAGTTCGTCACGCGCAAAACCAGTAATGTCATGGACCCGCTGAGCCCACCTGTCCGCGCTGGAAGAGGAGAGGGTGAAGGTGCTCTTCTGCACACTTACCAGATGACCGGTGGCCGAGCCATAATGCTCCAGAAGGCGCATAAGCTCGACCAGTCCATCATCATCTGCCTGGGTGAAGATGATGATGTCATCCGCATAAGAGAGGTGAGAGATGGAAGGACCATAGCCACGAGTGCTATAGGTCATATGAGGAGAGTCGCGGATGAAGCCATCAAAGCAGCGAGAGAGGTAGTCCGCCGCAAGAACGAAAAGGGAAGGGGAAAGGGGGTCGCCCTGTCTAAGGCCTCTAGAGGAGGGAAAGAAGTCGGTGGGGCTGCCATAAAACAGGACCGAGAACGTACAGTGCTCCACACACGCCTCCACAAAACAGTTCCAACACTCAGGAAATCCCATCCTAGCCAGCGCCTCCCTAAGAAACGGCCACTCAACCCTATCATACGCCTTAGCCATGTCTAGCTTCAGAGCAATATTCGAAGCCCGCTTCCAGTCCGCACGGGAGATGTCGTGGATCATCTCCTGGGCCAGAAGGATGTTATCACTAATGACTCGATCCTTGACGAAGCCACTCTGGATTGGAGAGATGAGGGAGGGAGAAGGGGTGAAAGGCGGCGGTTAAGAATCTTCGAAATGAGCTTGTTGGTCACGTTACACAGGCTAATGGGCCTATAATCGGACCAAGAGCTCGGGTTGGGTCTTTTGGGGATCAAGACGACAGAGGTAGACGTGAAGGAATCCGACATCCAGTGACCGGAGAAAAAATCCAAAATTGCCTCCTCGACGTCAGGCTCGACTAAATTCCAGCAGACCTAGTAGAAGAGAGAGAAGAAACCATCCGGGCCAAAAACGCTGTTGGGATCAATCCCGAATACAGCATCCCTAACCTCCTCCCTACTCGGGAGCTCACAAAGTCCAATAAGATCGACCGAAGGAGGGATGGTGGGGAAGAAAGAAGCGGTCGAGGCCACTAGGGACCCTCTGTCAGAGGTGAAGAGGGTCTGAAAGTGAACAATAGCCGACTCCCGTATCTGAGACTCCTGGGTCAGGGATGACCCATCAGCCTCGATATTATAGATATACGACTTAGCACGCTTCTGCCTAACGTAGCCCTGGAAAAACCTAGTGTTCCGCTCGCCCTCGGCCACCCAACGAACGGCCGCCTTCAGCTTCCAGAAATCCTCCTCCATAAGGAGTCGGAGCTGGTACTCGGCGTGGCAGCGGTGCATCGCAGTCCTATTCTCTGGAGTGGGGTCCAGGTCATAGGCCCGCTCAGCCGTTGCATGTGCACTCTGAGCCGCAGAAAGGCGCTGATAAAGGTTTCTAAAAACATCCCAGTTCCACTGTCTCAACCGACGCCGCAGTCTGCCGAGCTTCACCTCGAGATTGCGCATCCCGAAGAGCCCAGTCGGCTGAAGCCAGGAATCCCTGACAGTGTCGTAGAAGGAGTGGTGACGAACCCACATGTTCTGGAACCTAAAAGAAGAGCGGCGGGGGGTGCTCGAAAATCGGCACCAGATGAGAAGGGGTGATTGGTCAGATCCAAGTCGAGTAAGGTGTGTGACGGTCGTAACCGCAAACACCTTCGCCCACGCCTCAGAAACCAAGGCACGGTCGAGCCTCTCTTTGAATCCGTCTCTCAGCCACGTGAAGGGCTCACCATCACATCCAGGGTCAATTAACTCACAGTCCGCCACTGCCTGAGCAAAATCCCACATCTCCCATGACTGGTCCGAACGGCCACCCACACGCTCATCGGGATGCAGAAAGATGTTGAATTGCCACTAACCATCCATGGGAATCCCTTTATACTCTCAGCAATCTCACGCAGGGTGTCCCAAAGATCATATCGCCCGACCCTTGTACACTTGGCATAAACCAAGGTGTGAAAGATGGGCTATGGGAGGTGGGCAGTGGAAAGCTCTACGTGAAGCACCTGATCGGTGTCACGGAGGACCCGACAAGTGTAGTCACGCGAGTGAAAGAACCAGATCTTATGCAAAGTGTTACCCATGCCCGAGTGAAAGCCAAGGCGACGTGAGTAGTAGTTAAAAGAAGGGGTGCGAATCATCGGCTCAATAAAGCCAACAAAATCGAGTCTGTGATCACGAATGAGAGAATGAAGGTGAGTGAGAGTAGCCCTATTCGCCAGGACACGACCATTCCAAGTTATGGATGTGATAGACATATCAACGGTCGCAAGAGCCACCGGACATAGTCCGCCTGTGGTGAGGCTGAGTCGAGCCACCTAAAGAAGGAATGTGGCGAAAGGATCGAATAGCAGGGGAGACAGTTCGTGGTGTCGTGCGCTGCGTGGCTCTGGTCCTCGTGGACTACCGGCCTCGATAGGTGCTCGTGGCCTGTGTGTCGTCTGGCTGGGCTGTCTGACCTAGAGATGCACTAGCGGGTTGACCCATCTCCGGGGCTATCTCCTGTCTGTCGTAGTGAACGAAGGCACTAGAGGCGAAGCTCTCGCACGAGACGTCATGCTGGGCGCTATTAAGACCGCATGCCTGCTCGGGGATGGGTGAAAGAGAGGATCCAGCAGGCGGAGCACTCCGGTGCTCGCCGCCAGAGGGAGGATGGGGGCTGGCTATATGCTCAGCCGAGCTCCCAATCTCAGCCCAGTGAAGATGGCACGGCTCATCCCTTTTTGGGGGAGCGGTGACGGTAGTGGCCCTCAAATCCAGAGAGCGGTCCGGGCTAGATGCATGCACAGTCAAAGGACCAGCATCGCACGCACTGTCATCAGATAAGTGGATGGACTCATCCCTAGACGAGGCATCCGGTTGGTCCATATAGTCTACAAGGAGGTTGTCATCATCAAGCAACGTAAGATCCGTAATCCTAGGTGGGCCACTGGTGGAAGGCATAGCCTCATTCTCTGCCTCTGGGGAGAGAATAGCAAAGTACGAGTGGTTGGCCTTGAAGGGCGACTGTAAGGTCTGTCTGGGAAGGAAGCCCGTGGACTTGGGCTTGGGCCCTACTATGGCCAACTGCTTAGGCTGGTTAGGATGAGCATCCTTCCCAGTTTGGGCAGTGGCGTCGATCACAACCTTGCCCTTATCCTTAAACCCCTTCGGGGCCTCGGGTGCACGGAGAGGGTTTTTGCCCTTTCCCTTCGGATCCCTCCGACCGGTGGAGGGCCCCGGCTGAGTCGCACGGTGTCGCTGCGGAAGTGTGGGCCGTGGCTTATTGCCACTAGTGTAGCAATCAGCCGCAATATGTCCCACATGACTACACAAAGTGCAGAACGCGGGGATCTTCTCATAAATCACCCGCTGAGCAAAGGTCTCCGAGCCCTGCTCAATCTCAATCTCATGGACGGGCCCAACTCTGAGGTCTATCTCTACACAAAATCGCGCCACGTTAGCCCTCGACTGAAGGGCCGTCGGGGCGTCAATACGAATCGGCTGTCCAATACACTTAGCAAGCGTAGTGATGGAAGCACGGTCGTAAAGGTGGGGTAGGAGGCCGGGAAGACGACACCATACGGGGACAACAGGCGTCTCCGTCTTCGGGTTAAACCCGACAGTATATTTGAACACCCTAGCTGGGCATCCACACGATGAATCGAGGTCTTAAGCCAAACCTCATTGTAGTCCTCGGGGAGATGAAAAGTGACTAGGAGGTGGTTAAAGTTATACCACTTAGACGACACTCTACCCTTAAAACCCAGTTTACCTAATCCAGCAAATATATCTCGGGGGGCAGGGATAGCATAAGTAAACTTAAAAACCAGGGTGTTAGCTAACTTACCGGCCAGGCCTTCAGATTCGTCTTGAGTGAATCAAGCCTTCACCTTGTTTTTCTCTGAACGGATAATGGTTCCGCAAGCATGCTCGTATCCCCCGTCAAACGTGAAATTCTTGGCCGTCGGCCGCGAGGCACCCATGCCGTCATCTCTCCTTCTCGTAATAGCCTCTTGGAAGGAAAGCGGCCTAGTGGAGGTGTCCGGAGGTGGCCCAGCTGCGGCGGTGTTTACCGTGGAGGTGCCCGTCGGCGGTGTCGGGGAATGCCCGGCAAGGTGGACCGCAGTCGCTGTGTCTGTTCCCGCCACAACTACTCCATCTTTACGAACGAACAAAACGGCCTGATCTGAATTCGGCCCCGCCGGTGGGTGGACAGCCTGGGGTGCCACATGGGTTTTATGAGAACGGCCCGTCGGGGGCTGGTCAGCATGGGTTGCTCCGGTGATGATGGCTGAGGTGCCAGGAGACAAAGTGGAGGTAAACGCCGGTAAAATAGGGTCGGGTCCAAGTAAATCGGTCGTTGGAGATGGGGCGCCGGCGAGAGTGCGGCTGTTGGAGGTGTTGCCGGAGGGCTGGCCGGATGCCGGTGGAGGGTCGCCGCCAGTCGCCGATGTTCTGCCGGATTTCGCTTGTTGGCAGTTAATGGATAGGAGGTTGGGCAGGACGATGACGGGCTGTGAGGAGGGTTTGGTGGTGGCAGGCTCAATGTTGGGCTGTGAGGATGTGGGAGGTATGGGTTGAGAGGTGGGCTGGGATGTGGAAGTGGGTTGTGCGGTGTTGGTCCGAGAAATGAGCCCCAAAGGGAGGCCCAAAAAGGGGGAAAATGTGGGCTAGGGGGCAATGGTTGAAAGAATGGGCTCGGAAGGATGCTGTAAGTGGGCTGAGGGTGAAGAGAGGGGGGGTGGGCCAGGGAGGGGGGAATTGTTGGGTTGGGAGGTGATGAGATGCTGGGCCTGGGAGGATAGCCCAATGGAGAGACAAGGTGTTGAAGCAGGCCTTGGGATCGGCCCAGAGGAGGCCCTAAATCCTGCAAGCTGAGGGTTTTGATGGGTCAATGGCGCGCCTCCATCTGTACGGATTTGGGAGTGCAAAGCTGAGGGGGAGAGATCCACCTTAACTGGAGGGAAGAAGTCCGATAATACTCCCGGCGGCAAGGAACCAAAAGAGGCCGGCCGACGAAGATCATGTTCTACCACCACAATAGTGCCCGACATCGAGTGCGAGATGACCGGAGAGATGACATGGCTGACAGGAAACTCGGTGGAGGTATTAGTGTCGTCACCTGAGAGCCTCAAAGGACCGGAGGTCGTCGAATGGTAGATCAACTGGGAGGGCGACAACAAATCTTGATTCGGCGCGGCCAGATCTGAAGCCTGAATTTCTTCTTCTTCCAAGCCATGGGAGGGAAGGTTCTCTAACATGAGGGTAAGGAAGGCTTTTTTAAAACCTGGCTTCGAGAAAAGCGAGACGACATCTGGTAAGGAATGGGTGGTCGGAGACGGGTGGGAGCCTGTCGAATGTGACAAATCTTGCGGAGGAGACATGGGGCTGGGGAAGAAAAGGTTGGGGGGTGACAGCAGCTTTCCGCAGCAAGCCGCCGTCGGCGGCT